AGGGGTGCGGGCTTCTGCTCCACTATCAGGACATCACAACTGGGAGGAGATACTGTGTGCAGAGCTTCCGAGGGCAGCAGGGGGTGTCATTGTTTTGTCCCCCAAATCCGTCTTCATGGCCTCCCCAGGGGACATTTACAAGCACCCCAGAGCGGCCCTGTTGGTGGCCAGACAACTGGTGGCCCAGCACCCGTGGGATCCAGGAGCCGGTCGTGTTGCGGCAGGTGGGGTGGAGGCAGGTCGGGGTGCAGGCGCTGGGGGGCTGCCCCTGGGCTGCAGGGGAGGGCTGGGTGCCCTGAGCACCTCCACGAGGAGGGGGGAGGCTCGCAGGGGTGACTCCGGGCTGGGCGGCCGCGGGGCTACGGGCCCACAAAGAGCGCGTTGATCACTTTAAACAATAAAACCAACAGTCGCCAAGGACCTGGGACCGTAAGCCGCCCACTGGGGTTTTTGGGCGACTGCCGAAGGACAGGTCACTCTCATCACAACTCGGCCGTGGTTCAGTCATGGCTGCTTTGTCTCCGACGGTTCCTTTCATGTGTCTGGACACGAAACTTCTTTCCGAGCTGTCGACGCCTCTGGCAACGGCTGGGGTCTCGGGCGCCCACGGGTCCCCAGGAGGCCCGCCAGGCCGGCCCCCCACAGGCCCGTGGGGCTTTCTGTGCCCCGCGGGGAAGCACGGCCCTCCGCGCTCACGGGCGTGTCACTCCCTGGGCCGGGGCGCTGTGTCCGCGGCACGGCTGCTGGGGCAGGGCTGTCAGCCTACCCAGGGGGTGCCGGTCCTGGGGGGTCCTCGGAGCGGGGCCTGGGGCAGGCGGTCAGTCGGAGGAGGTGTGGCCGCGGGGGGCCGGGGGCGGGGGACAGCCTAGCAGACAGACTGCCCGGGGCGAAGCCGCTCCTGCCCACACCCTGCCCAGCGTGCGGCGTCGGGGCCAAGCTGCTAACCCGCCGTGAGGTCACAGGTGTGTGTTGCTCTCAGTCTCCCACGGAGTTTGTGGAACCGCCTCGGGGGCCCCAGCAAACTCCCCGCTGGGCCCGGGGCTGCGGGTGGGGCCTGCTGCACTCACACTCACACTCGCACTCGCACTCGCAGGGCCGAGGACGCTCAGCCACCCGCCTGCTGCAGGGCGTGAAGGAAGCTCGTGCGGGCGGCCCCTCTGTCTCGCCTGCAGGCCCCTCCTGACCCTGTGCCACCCCGGCGGGGGACAGGCACCCTTGGAAGTCCGCATCTGCTGTGCTGGTCACAGCCCCTGCCCTCCGGGCCTCCGGGTCTCGGTGTCAGGACGGGCCCGTTTCATGCCGCCACTGGGTTCGCATCCTTCGAGGGCGTCCTCACGGCCCCCGACGGCTCGTCCTCGCCGCGACCCCCGCAGAGCAAACAGAGGAGAGCGTGGCCCCTCGTGGAGAAGGCGGTTGCGGGGGGCTGGGGAGGGGGCTCTCTGGGCACGGGCCCCCGGGCCTCGTCACCTCTCAGGATCCTGTCGCGGGAGGGGTGGGGGTCACAGATTTCCTTTCTGGTTGGGACCTTGTCGGAAATAGGAAAAAAGCTGCTGGTGACGGCAGGTCGGTAACAGCCCCGCTGTCCCCGAGGGCTCGCGCGTGGGGGAGGCTCAGCTGATGGCGACCTCACGGCCACCGCGGGCTCTCCTGTCCGTCGACCGCACCGTAATAATGACACGAGATGCGGGCGCTGACAAGGGTCCGGATGCGGCGGGCGCTCCACCCTCCCCGCACCGCAAAGCCCCGGTCTTGGCGCCAGCCGATGAGGCAACGCGGCTGCCTCCAGGGAGCCCCTCTGCCAACTTTTAACAAGCTTCCAATTAGGGGAGCCCAGACACCTGTGTGGCAGTGCCCGCGGTGGCCCCGAGTCCCCGGGGCAGTGTGACACGCGATGCCAGAGCAGGTCGGCGGGGTCAGCAGGCCCCGTGTCCCTGGGGCCTCGTCAGGCCCCGCCCTGGCCGGTGCTGGTGAGGGCAACAGGCTGAGGCTCGGGGGAGCACGGGGTGCCCACCCTGAGCCCCGGCCCCGAGTGACTGCAGGCAGCCGGGTGCAGCCCCGAGCGCGCCCCCTGGGGTGCGGCCTAGCCACAGGCCTTTGCTCCAGGCCACCTTGCTGATGGCAGCCCTTCCCCCGCGTCACAGTCTCCTCCCGGCCTCGCGGGGCAGCGGGGGTGGGGGGGGCACCGGGGAAGCTGCCTGGCAGCAAACAGCCCCAGCTTGGCTCTTGCTGAGGCAGCTCTTTCCAGAAGGCTCCGTGGGGGCAGGGAGTGGGGCAGCCGCCCTTTGCCTATCAGCCTGCAGCCAACTCCCTGTTTACAGAGGGGGAAACTGAGGCACAGCTTACAGACAGGGCACTAGGCACAGAGCACCTGCATGAGTACCCGGTGTGTAGTGCACGGCTGGGTCATGCCCCGGGGTGCCGGGGGCCACCAGTGTTCCCGCAGCGTGGGCGCTCTGTGTAGACAGGCCTGGTGCGCCGCTGGGCCCGGGGGAGAGGCTTGAGCTGCGGGTGAGAAACGGGCGCCAGGCAAAGCCCAGGGACCTCGCCGGCCCCTAGGGCCCCGCGGCAGCTGCGTGATTATCGGGAGGATCCTTGCAGGCCTGAGCCCGGGGGAGCCCGGGGGAGGGCAGAAGTAACCCGGTGTCGGAGGGCTGCCCTCTGCTCTCCCCACTGGCGGGCAGGTGGGGGCTCCAGGGAGGGGGTCCCCTCGCCGCCCGCCTCAGATGCGTGTGCAGCCCGGACCGTGCGCCCGAGCACGGTGGCAGGTGGGAGCTGACGGCCACCCAGGCCTTGGGGGGCGTCCCTGTTGGAGGAGGAGCTGGGAGGGGACAGCACAGCCTCAGCTGGGGGTGAGGGCGGCTCGGCACGGGCACCTCGGGCCTCGTCCCGGAGGCAGGGGCGCTGGGGCTCTGGCCAGTGTGAATGAGCAGAGTCAGGGTCCCCGGGCAGCGCCGTCCTGCAGGCTTGGGACCCACGACGGGCTGGGGGCCACCCCCAGGGGTGCTGTTGGGGGGCCAGGCCATTTCCTGGGCGGCCAGAGCTGCCTCCTGGCCCCGCCCTGGACGAGCCAGGCTGCATGGGGCCGCTCCCGAGCCCCCCGCCCTGTTCCTCCTCGCTGCGTGCCAGGAGGTCGGCGGTGGACAGCAAGGGGCCCCCACTGGCAAGTCAGAGGGTCTGCGGGCCCCAGGCAGCGCCCCTGCCCGACAGTCCCTGGGCCTTCCCATGCTCACCCTCCTTCGGGGGCTCCTGGAACTGCTCAGACCTCGGGTGAGTGACCCCAACCGTGCTGTGCCCCCCAAGCTGACCTGGGCAGGTGGGTTCCCCAGCCCTGCCGTCCCTCACGAGGGGGGTCCCGAGTCGGACTTGTGAGGGACCCCATGCGAGATGCGCATGATTCCAGGGCCTGGTGCTCCTCCACGGTGGCCTCGGCTCGCTGTCCTCGCTCAGGGACGCGGGAGGAACGGCAGCTCAGGCCTGCAGAACCGGGGTGCCCCGGCCGACAGGACAAGCCGACGCCTCCTGTCCCCGCGGGCACCCTCAGCAGCAAAGACGGTTCCTAGCTGAGGCCCGACCTGTCGTCGAGGCCGAGGAAGCAGCCCCGGTTCCCGCGTCAGGACCCAGCACCCCGGCCGAGCGCGAGGCTGGCCGGCCTGCCCTCCGGGGCCACGGCGCACAGGGCTCGGGTCGCCCCACTGAGTCCTGGGGGCGGCACCAAGAGGCACTCCCGCCCCCCGAAATGGAGTCATGGGGGCCCTGCCGGAAAGACGGCTTCTTCCAGGACAGGACCCAGTGGGCACCCCGCTGGGCCTGGGGCCAGGCGACCTGGGAGTTGGCCTTCGCAGGACCTCACCACCCGAGCCACTGAGCATGGGCTGCTGCTGGGGAAGCTTTGCTGATGCGCCGTGGGGGGATGCAGCGGGGCACCCCCGGCCCCCCGGAGCCAGGGGGAGTGTTCCAGGGCTGGTCGCTAGCGGGTGTGCACACACCTGTGAGCCCAGGCCCGTGGGTGTGCGCGCCCCCCCCTTAGGTACGTCGTGTGTGCACCTGCTCCTGGGGGGGGTGCCTGGGTGGGGAGGCAGGTGCTTGCAGGGGGGAGGAGGGTGCCTGTGTGTGGGGGTGCCTGCGTGCCGGCTCCCGGAGCGCACCCAGCCTCTGCTGCCTGGGAACCCTTGCCCGCCGCCCTCTTGCTCCCTGCCAGCTCTGCCCCCCTCGATGCTCACCGGGGCTGCCCGTGGGGTGGGGGCCCCAGCCCTTGTGCAGAGGCGTCAGGCGCCCCGGGATGCAGCTCAGCTCCCAGCGAGCCCCAGGACAGTTGCCACAGCCCCGTGCCCTCCCCTGCGGGCACCACCCTCGGGCACCCCTCCTTCCAGCAAGTGCCCCCCGAGTGCCCCCCCAGCGTCCAGCCAGGAGGGGGCGCTCATGAGGCAGCTGCAATTTCACACTTGGGGCCTCGGGGCGGGTAGTGGGGGTGACAGCCCTAGGGGAGGGGAGGGGAGCGGGGCCCCTGGGCGACCTCGGGCGGTTGTGTTGGGTGTGGCCGGGGGGGGGGCTACTGGGTACAGGTAAGGATGTCTCACCAGGAATCAACTGCTTTATTGGATGCAAATGCTAAAAATCGGGCCACACGTAATTTCATTTGTGAACACTTGACAATTCGTGTCCTTTCCCAGGCTTCTTGAGTCTAGAGTGAGGACCCCCAGGTGACAAGGGTCTAGAGTGAGGACCCCCGGGTGACAAGGGTCTGGAACGAGGTGCTGTCCCCCCGGGTGAGAAGCCCTGATAACCTGGGTCCAGTGTCCTCCCGAGCAGCGTCCCCGCGGAGGGGAGGTCCGTGGCCCCGTCGCCCCCACGGGGACCCAGGTCTGGCCGCAGTCCTGGGACCATAGACGAGGTGAGTAGACCCCAAAGAGAAGGGACAGGCCTGGCCCCGGCTCTCGCCTCCAGGCTCGGGGTGGGCGGTCCCTGGCCCCGGCGGCAGGGTCCCTGTCCCCACGGTGCCCATGGCCTGGGGCCGCAGCCAGAACCAGTCCGCGCAGGCGCCCTTCATCCTGCTGGGCTTCCCGGGGCCGCTGGGGCTGCACGTGGGGCTCTTTGCCCTCTTCCTGCTCATGTACGTGCTGGCGGTGGCGGGCAACCTGGCCATCATCGGCCTGGTCGGGGCGCACCCGCGCCTCCGGACGCCCATGTACTTCTTCCTCTGCCACCTGGCCTTCCTGGAGGTCTGGTTCACCACGGCTTGCGTGCCCAAGGCCCTGGCCACGCTCGCCTCCCGGCGCGGAGCCATCTCCCCGGCCGGCTGCGCGGCGCAGATGTACTTCGTGTTCTCGCTGGGCTGCACGGAGTACTTCCTGCTGGCCGCGATGGCCTACGACCGCTACCTGGCCATCTGCCGGCCGCTGCGCTACGGCAGCATCATGACGCCCGGCCTGTGTGCCCGCCTGGCGCTCGGCTGCTGGCTGTGCGGCTTCTCGGCCATCGCCGTGCCCGCCGCCCTCATCGCCCGCCTCTCCTTCTGCGGCGCCCGCGTCATCAACCACTTCTTCTGCGACATCGCGCCCTGGATCGCGCTGTCCTGCAGCGACACGCGCGTGGTGGAGCTGGCGTCCTTCGGCATCGCCTTCTGCGTCATCCTGGGCTCCTGCTCCGTCACGCTGCTGTCCTACGCCTGCATCATCGCCACCGTCGTCAGGATCCCGGCCGGCGAGGGGCGGCGCAGGGCCTTTTCCACCTGCTCCTCCCACCTCACGGTGGTCCTCGTCTGGTACGGCTCCACCATCTTCCTGCACGTGAGGACGTCGGCGGAGAGCTCGCTGGACCTCACCAAGGCCGTCACCGTGCTCAACACCGCTGTGACCCCGGTGCTGAACCCCTTCATTTACACCCTGAGGAACAGGGAGGTCAGGGAGGCCCTGTGGGGCTGGGTGCAGGGCAAGTGAGCCCCCGGCCCTGGCCCACCGGCCCTCGGAGTGGGCCTCACCAAGTGCTGCACCGTTCCCCTGCACCCCGATGTCACGGTGCCACCAGGGGCTCCCGGGGGGCGGGGGGCAGGGGCTGTGGGCTGGAGCTCCCACCCCGTCCTGGCCTCATGGAGTTCCCACCACTCTCAGCCCCGGAGTCCCAAACGTAGGTCCTGGAACAGAAAGGGGTACACGGGGCCCCCACGAGGCCTCCACGCACGAGCACATACCCGCTGCCCCCCGCGGCCTGGGGCCGGGCGCTGATGGCTGTCCTGTCAGCGAGGGGCGGGCTGTGCCTTGGGATCCCCCTGCTGACACCTTGGTCTCCCAAGTCCTCCCTCCTGGGGGGGCCGTGACCACCGAGGATGCGACCCAGAGAAATGTGTGTGCAGAGCTTGCGAGGAGGCGTGCGGCCGTTGAGGCCATGGGAGTCCGTGCGTGGTTTGCCCAGAGCTCGGCCCGCGGGGCTCACCTCGTCCTGGGCCCGCAGTGCGGGATCCGCACGCTCCGGAACCCCTGTGAGAGGCCCCGACAGCCCTCACGGCGTGGAGTCCCTGGCGGGTGGCGTGGACCCGGGCCACAGGCCGACTGAGTGGCTGCGTCATGTTCGACGGAGATGGGCGCCTGCGCTCTCGGGGCCCGAGGTCAGTGGCAGCAGGGGCTCAGCACGCGCCGGTGTTGGCGCTGGCCCCACATGCGGCAGGGACGGTCGTCTCCCTTGTCCACCTCGCATGGGGCCGATGGTCGCCACCTGGGGGTGCTGTGGCCGCCTCCCGCCGGGCTTGGGGTCCCGGGGCCGCACCCAGAGCCTGCCCTCCGGCGTGGACTCCGGGTCGCCTGCGGCCCGCGGTGCTCGTGCCGTCTGTGCTTCTGTGAAGTCATTTTCCAGATGTCGAGTCAAACTGTGTCCTCGTGGGATCTGCTGGCGTCCTGGCCGGAGGGAGAGGACGCTGGGAGGTGCTCCCCGTCCTCCCGAGAGTCAACGGAGCTCGCGGCGGTCCAGCTCTTGGTCATGCCTGGGGAGAGGCCGGCCTGGGCTCCTGTAAGGACGCCGCTGTCGCCCCGGCCTGGACAGGCTGGCTGACCCTCCAGGCCGCGCGCGATGTCCCCACAGACGGGGCCTCTCCAGTCCCGCGGCCTCGCCGGCTCCCCACCCCTTCCGGGTCGACACGTCTCCTTGGAGGCTGAGGCCTGAGCTGGGCGACCCCGAGGGGCACCTGTGGGGGATCCCGGGCAGCCTCCTCCCCTGCGGGCCCCCGACCCCGTGCCTGCTGCCCGGAGGCTCCTCTGCTTGGGGAGGTGGAAGCTGGCCCAGCTCGTCTCCCGCGTCCCTGGGGCCCAGGTTAGGACCCTGCAGTGCAGGTGCAGGGCCCTGGGTGTGGCCGCGGCCCGAGCTCATGGCCGCGTGGACCCCGCTGCCCCGGCCACCGCCAGGTGCTCCTTGTCCCTGCTAATGTCACAGGTCTCCGGGGTGAAGGGCCCGGAGCAGGGGGCGGCCTCTGCACAAACAACCCTCCCTCCCTGGGCGCATTTGGTTATGCGCATCTGGCTGGTGGGGCGGGTCCTGGAGGACCGCGAGCCCCTCTGCTGGGCACCCGGCCTCCAGGCCACGCACACTGGGGCTCCCAGGTCCCCCTGCTGTTCCCAAGGGAAGAAACCGTGTGGGACCCACGGCCACGCGGACGCCTCTGCTCGCAGCTCGGAGCTGCTGGGGTTCTTGGTGCCCCGGACTTGCCTCCGAGAGAAAGCGGCGATTCCCCGGTGTTCCTCCTCAGGCTTAGGAATTGGGTAGTTTTTAAAGGCTCAGAAGGAAGTGCTATCTTTTTTTTTTTAATTTTTAAAAAGTTCTAAAAATTTTATTTTACTTAAAATCAGTTAATTAACACGTAGTGTCAGTCTCGACGGCAGAGGTCAGGGACCCGTGGGTCTCTGGGGCTCCGGGCACTCACCCCATCCCCCCCCCCCCCCCCCCCCCCCGCATCCCTCAGCTTGTTTCCTGTGCTTAAGAGTCTCTCTGGTTGGTCTTGTTTCATCGCCCCCCTCCCCGCACCCCTGTTTCTCATGTGCCCTGTGAGCGAGGCCCCGGGCTCCCTCCGAAGCTTCCCTTCCAGCTCTGTGCACGTCGCTGCAAATGTCGAGACCCGTCCTTCCTGCCGTCGCGGGACAGCCCGCTGTCGTGGGGACCCCGTCTCCGTGCTCCACCATCGCGGGGGCACCGCTCCTCCCGCCATCAGGCTCCTGCGGGCGCTGCTGCTGTGAGCATGGGGTGGGGGTGTCCCGGCGTTTGGCTGCACCTGTATCCTTGGGGTGAATCCCCCGCGGTGCCATTGCTGGGTCGCAGGGCAGCTCTTGAGGACCCTACATGCTGCTCTGCAGGTGGCTGCACCTGCTGGGGTTACCACCAGCAGGAAATGCTGTCTTTCCCGTTTTTTGGGGTGATCTTTACTACTGCTCACTGTGAGAACAGGACCTGGGGAACCGCAGCTGGTTCTGGGACGGGGTGGCGGGGGCGTCCTTGCCTTCATCTGTCCCGGGAGGGCGTGAAGCCCTTGTGGGTCCCCCGCGGGGACAGGGGCAGCCTGGGGACTAGGCGGGGGCGTCTTGGTCAATTCCTGACCCCTCAGCTTCTGTGTCCTCATGGCAGATGTGTCGCGCAGGGGACCAGCGGCTGTCGGCGGGAGGTGGTCAGGGAGCTCCAGAGCGTTTACAGTCAACTGGTCGCTGTGTAGCTTCTGTGACTCGTGGAGGCCACTCGGTGACCATCGTGCTCTGCGAGTCACGGGGGAGGCTGTGGGGGCCGCCGTCGCGTCCTGCTCTCACCCCCCGGACACCGAACGTGGCGTCGGGTCCCTAAGGGGTGACCCACGGGCCTCGGAGCCTGGCCAGTCCGGCTCTGAGGGCTTCTGGCTCCTCCGTGAGTCACTGAGGGGGAACCGGCTTCTAACAGCTCCCGCAGTTTCATCCTTCCCTCTCTCTCGAAGACGTTTTAATTTAATTTTTATTTTTTTATTTTTCGAAGACTTCTTTTAAAGGGTTTTTAAGGTCTTAGAGTCTAAGAGCACTTTTAGGTTCATAGAGAAGTTGAGCGGAGCACGGAGTTGCCACATTCCCGTCTCCCCCGGCTTATTAACGCCCTGGTGAGGGTGCAGCGGGTCTGCCGCAAGGGATGGACCCACGTTAACTCCGAGACCTCGGGGTCCACTCTGAGCGGCCTGCGTTCTGTGGGTCTTGGCAAACGCACGTCACGGGGCTGCACAGACTTGTTTCACTGCCCTAGGAATCCCCCGTGTCCCACGTGATCATCTCCCCCTTCTCCTGCCTGGACCCCCAGCAACGCCTGATCTTTGTCGTTTGTAGTTTTGTGTCGTGTCCTTGGAGTTGTCCCATCGGGAGCGTTTCCAGACTCACTTCTTTCCCTGAGCAACACGCACGGAAGCGTCCTCCAGGTCCTTTGGTGACTCGATGACCCATGTCTTTCTTATTACCGGATGACATTCCACTGCCTGGGTGGAACACTGTTTACCTCCTCACCTGTTGAAGGACATCGCGGCTGCTTCCCTATTTTTTTTTAAAGATTTTATTTATTTATTTATTCATAGAGACACACAGAGAGAGGGAGAGAGAGGCAGAGACCCAGGCAGAGGGAGAAGCAGGCTCCCTGTGGGGGGCCAGACGTGGGACTCGATCCCAGGACCCCAGGATCGCACCCTGAGCTAGAAGCAGGTGCTAAACTGCTGAGCCATCCAAGCGTCCCTGCATTTAGTTCTAGGATCTATTTTTTGTTAAGATTTTATTTACTTTAGGGCAGTCCAGGTGGCTCAGCAGTTTAGTACCGCCTTTAGCCCAGGGCGTGATCCTGGAGACCCGGGATCGAGTCCCACATCGGGCTCCCTGCATGGAGCCTGCTTCTTCCTCTGCCCGGGTCTCTGCCTCTCTCTCTCTGTGCCTCTCATGAATAAATAAATAAAATCTTTAAAAAAAAAGACTTTATTTATTTTAGAGAGAAAGAACAAGTGGGGGGAGAACAAGATGAAATCAGAGAGGGAGACAAACCATGAGAGACTCTTAAGCACAGGAAACAAACTGAGGGTCGCTGGGGAGGGGGTGGGGGCGGGGTCACTGGGGGGCGGGCAGGAAGGAGGGCGCGGGATGGGTGAGCGCCGGGTGTCATGTAAGACCGATGGATCACTGACCTCTGCCTCGGAGGCGAATAATACACTATATGTCAGTTAAATTGAGTTTATTTTATTTATTTAAAAATTTTTTTTAAAAAATTGAGTTTAAATAAAAAAAAAAAAGAGACTGTCCTTTCTCCATTGTGTTGTCTGTGCTCCTTCGCCAGTGATTCATTGACGGCGCTTATCTGGGTTCACTCGGTGTAACTGACCGATTAGTCCGTTCTCTCACCGACTGTGCTGTTTGGTTACTATAACGTGAGTAAGCCTTGAGGTCAGGTAGGGTCAGTCTCCTGACTCTGTCCCTCTTTAGTGCTGTGATGGGTAAAATTTAGAATCCGTTTGTTGATATCTGAAAATTAACTTGCTAGAATTTTTTTAAAAGAATTTTTTAATTAATTAATTAATTAATTAATTAATTAATTATTTATTTATTTATGAGAGAGAGAGAGAGAGAGAGAGAGGCAGAGACACAGGCAGAGGGAGAAGCAGGCTCCAGGCACCGGGAGCCCGATGTGGGATTCGATCCCGGGTCTCCAGGATCGCGCCCTGGGCCAAAGGCAGGCGCTAAACCGCTGCGCCACCCAGGGATCCCAACTTGCTAGAATTTTGATCGGGATTACATTAAATCTATAAATAACATCAGGATGAATTGACATCTTGACTATATTGAGTCTTCCCATGCACCAATCTAGGACATCTTCCCATTTATTTAGATTTTCTTTGATTTCTTTCATTGGAGTTTTATAGTTTTTCTCATGTTGAACTCGTACGTATTTTGCTAGATTTATACATAGGTAATTT